AAAGCAATAAAAAAATATAAAAAAATGTTAAGTGGAGGAGGCTGGCTGGGAAGAGGAAGGGAATCTGCAGGACTGTGAGGGGGACAAGGGTGACGCAAGTTGTGAACACGGTTGAGATACATTGTGCACGTATGGAAACGTCATTAATGAATCGAATTATGATGTGTAGCTGTCGTATGTGGACGGTTGCAAATAGGCAAAGGTCCCAGCACTCGGGAGGCAAAGGCAGGAGGATCTCTTTGAGCTGGAGGCTGCGCTGGTCTACAGGGTGAGTCTGGGACAGCCAGGGCTACATAGGAACTAACTGCCAGGCTGGGTAGTCATCCGACTTGAGGGATGGATGGACGGACCTGAGACCCTCAGGAAGAACATGATTATAACTTTCTCATTAGAAAGTGCTGGATTTTAACTTAATTGGAAAGGTCTGGGACAGACACACCCCGAATTACAGCAGCTGAGCATGAAACGTGCGGGAAGATCAAAAGAAGAGGGTCATTCCAGGATGTAATTGGGGTCTGAGGCAGCAGGGAAGTCCAGTCTCGACGGACTGAACCCCGAATATATTTATTTTAAAAATATTACAGGTATTATTTTATTGTTTCTCAAGACAGGGTCTTCTCTGTGAAACAGTCCTGCTGTCCTAGACCAGGCTGGCCTCGAACTCACAGAGATCCTCCTGCCTTGCCTACCAAGTGTGGGATTAAAGGCATTCATTCTGTACAGCCTTACCCATCACTATTTCAAACAAGGATTTCTTCACAGTCTAAATACCTTTAGAAAAACAACTCTTTCGTTCTAATGTCAAATTTAACTGCGAGATTCCCACTACAAATACAAAACAGCCCGGCTGAATGAATGGGCTATGTGACGCTGATGAGCGGGCAGAAAACGTCATAAACAGTAGCAAAGTAGCAAGTCCTATTAAATACCAAGCAAACAATCCTACTTAGAGATTCAACAGCTTATTACAATAGGTAAGGGTAGGTAAGACGTACTAAAGGATGAATATACAAGGTACTATCGAATACTAAGTCTATTTTCAACAGCATTTCCAGGGGAGAGCGCGAACGCAGTCCCCCACTACCACAAATTATGCAG